AAAAAAAAAAAAAAACAAAGTAAAAGTGATGCCCATTAAGCAGTTACTCCCCGACTGCTAGCTCTTGGCAACTGTTACTTTGCTTTCTGTCTCTCTATATTTGCCTAATCTGGGTATTTCATATTTTGGAGACAAAAGTGATTTCATCTTGGATGCTAATCTGCCACTCTAACTTCTAATTAGCCCCAGTCACATGAGGGTCTCCTGATTACTTACTATCCTTAATGTAAGAGCTGTACTCATGATAAATCCTGCCTTTAGATCAAAGCAACCTTGTTGTTATCATACAAATTACAGGCTACGAAGCGCACGGCACCCTTCCCTGTTCTGCAGGGTGGACTTTGATTGTTTTTATAGAGCACATACTCCCTTTTTCTACGGTATATAAGCCCTAAGTCTGGGGAGTAACTGTGCAGATATTTGTCTTGCTGCTGCTCAAGACCACATTTCCATCTGCTAAGTTCCCCCCATAAACGACCCTTTACTGACAAACTGTGTGTGTCTGCCTTATTCTTTGGTTTCTCTACTCCTTTGGCATTCCGGGGCCACTTGGCATCTAAGGCCCTTTCACAGAATACACATCAGTGGACTCATTCAGTATGTGATCTTTGTTCTAGTTTTCTTCACTTAGCATATTATGTTTAAGCTTCATCCATTCTGTAGCATGAATCAGAACTTTATTCCTTTGTCTATGTGAATAACACTCCATCGTTTGGATATATCACCTTCTGTTTATGCATTATCAGTTGATGACATATTGGTTATTTCCATCTTTAAGCTACTGTGAGTAAGCATCTTTAAGCTGCTGTGAATGTTTGTGTGCAAGTCTGAATATCTGTTTTCTTTCTTTCTTTTTTTTTTTTGTTAAGACAGAGTTTCACTTTGTCACCCTCAGTAGAATACCGTGGCATCATAGCTCACAGCAACCTCAAACTCTTCAATCGATTCTCTTGCCTCGGCTTCTCAAGTAGCTGGGACTACAGGCGCCTGCCACAACACCCGGCTATTTTTAGACACAGGGTCTGGCTCTTGCTGAGGCTGGTTTCTAACTCCAGAGTCAAGCAATCCACCTGCCTCAGCTTCCCAGAGTATTGAAATTACAGGCGTTAGCCATCACATCCTGCCCCAATCATACTATTTTAGGCTGTCATGACCTCTTACCTGCATGCCTCTTCTTTTTTTTAATCATATGTATTAACTATTAATTGCTACATGACAAATGACTACAAATGGCAGCTTCAAATAACCATTTATTATATCCCAATTTGTGTGGGTCAGAAATCTGCTGTGGCTTTGCTAGGTTCCTTGAAATCAATATTGACCAGGGCTTTAGTCATCCCAAGGTTCCACTGGGGAAGGCTCCACTTGGAAGCTCTTTCATGTGGCTATTGACAGGCCTCAGGGCCTTGCTGGCTGTGGACCGGACATAGTTATCTGCCATGTATGCTTCTTCACACAGCAGTTTGCAACATGACAGTTTGATGTAAGCAGGAGAGTGAAACAAGGGGCCCAAAAGACAAGTCATAGTTTCCATATAACTTAACTTTGGAAGTGACAGCCCATTACACTGCTACCTTCTATTCCAGGGGTCCTCAAACTTTTTAAACAGGGGGCCAGTTCACTGTCCCTCAGACCATTGGAGGGCTGGACTGCGGGCCCCGGGACGAGTCGCCTGCTAAGCAGAACAAGCAGTGGTGGCAAAAACACCCGGCAGGCTGGATAAATGTCCTAGGTGGGCCACATGTGGCCC